TAGTTCTCAAAAGTTGAGCTCCTAACAAAAATTTTGGACATTTGTCCCTGTTGCAACCTATAGTCAGCTTAGCATCAATTTGATTCACTCAAGTTCTAAGATTAAGGCAATTACTCTTCAGATTCAGTCAGATAAAGTCATCTGGCTGTTGGAATTGAATTTCCTATTTTTATTATGATTTTTTCAATTGGTTCTCATTGTCAATTAAGATAATTTTGAGGTTCTCATAGAATTGATTGAATATTTTATTTGTCCAGTTATGATACTTAGATTCTGTTTAATATGATAAATATTTGTGTAAACTATTATTTAAAGCAAATTACATAGATCAACTAGAAAGCTGAGGTCCAGTGAAGCATCTAAGAGGCAGCTGCCAACAAAAATGGAAGTGCCACTGTCACATGGACAAGTTCCCTGTAATATTCATATTCAACAATCATAAATGTTGGGTTCTTGAATACACTTTCCACCAAAATAAAATTTTTAATGATACAAAACAACTTTGGGAGAAGAAATAGGTGACAACAAATTACAAAGAACACATCAGTGAGAAACTCAGAGAAAGCAAAGGAATTGGCCTGAGGACAAGCCAGATATGGTTCAAAGGAGATCTAGGTATATGCAAAAGTTTCCAGATTTTACATCCAAATCTGTAGTAACAAAAATAAACAATCGAAAGTGTTGTATCTGTAAAACATTTCTTACATACCATATCAAGTAAGGAAAGAATGAAAATTTTTGGTGTAAATTTGAAATGTTTGTGCTGTTATAGCAAGGAATAGTACCATAGTTCTTGTTATACTTATTCTGTGTTTAAAAGTTGTCCACATATGAAGTGAAAGAAGAAAAAAATTGAATAAGTAGCTTTGTAAGTTCCAGATGCAACCCTGCAGTCTGGACAAATAAGACCAGAATAGACTTTTAATTCACCCAAGAGGCTATCAAATGCTCATAATATTAACAGATAATCTCCTAAATCCCATGTTATTGTCTTTTACATGCTTACTAGTTACCACACACAAAAACTAAACAAACCCAAGTGGTAGCCCATATTTCAAAAAGAAAAAAGGTAAAATGTAAAAAAAAATCTTAGCCATTAACCTTAATTTTCAGAAAGCAGAAATTTATGTTGAGACTTGAGACTACGTTTCACAGTTAGAATAAACTATATGATTGGCTTTTGGACCCTTTTTTTAGTGATTCAATTTATTTTGATATTGTCAGATCACAAAATATCCATGTTACCTGTAGACAAATTTGCTGGAGTCCATTCCTAGGAAACAGACAAACTCATTAGAACTTTCTAATTTCTGCATATCTGTTTTTTTCCAAACAAATAGTCCACCTTCCTTAACGAAAGATTCCTTTCCTGTACATTTGTCAAGTTCTTATGATATCAGTCAAAGCAATCTTGATGATTTCTCTCATGCAACCAAAGGTTAAAGAGACTAATGTATAGTATAAAATATAAATGACATAGAAATAAAATACCCTGTTTTATATAGATTGAAGCAAAATAAAATTAGAAAATGCCAGTGGTTGTCATGAATTAGAAGAATGCCATAAAAGAAAACGATTCATTCTGAGAAAGCAATAGCAAGAAAGGTGAGAACTTACATCATCCAACAGCAGACTGTCGCCGTGATTATCAATGTCAAATGAAACCTGCACAACCAAATTGTCGAAATCATTTAACATTTTCACTAACCCATACGATGACCAACAATAACAAACGTTTGAGATGAAACTGCTAATTATTATGTTAATAAAATAAACCATCAGCTATCATGCTAGTATCACCCTACCTTAGTGTATATCACAATCTATCATCCAGTGTTAGACTGGCAGTTATAAAGCGTTTAATTCCATAGCTTAGCATCATAGCAAGTGAATTTATGAACATCCGAATTGCATTTCAAGGCCCCATTGCTACAATTCCTACCACCATAGGGTACATGATAAGGTAGCAGATTCGAGCTTGTTTTGACCGCAGAAGTGATCTGATGGTCGTTATCAATCATATTGATAGCTTAATTTTAGAAAACATAAGTGGCTGCTTTGGTTTCTCTGAAGTCTAAAAATCATTTCTGTTCAGTCTTAACTGTATTCATTGAGAAAAGAACATGGCTGAGATGGTGAATGAAGGACGAGAAGCAATAGTGCTATTATGTAATTTTCTAATATTTATAAAAATTCGTAGCACCAAGTCAAATAACTGGAACCAATGTTCTTATTGCTATGCAGCAACAGCATTTTATTTCGTGGTGAACTTTTGTTTGAGATTATCTATTGGAAAGAAGGGCAGAGAAGCCTGTCCATTTACGATCTACTCATACTCATGCCCATTCTACATCTACTCTTTTATCATGTTAAAAATCAGCTATTATCTATATTGCAAGATGACGCTAATCTATCTACCATTTGTACCTCAGACATCAGATACCAGCCCGTTCATATCAAGTGGTGCAAATCCAAACAATGACGTTGCTTCAAGTACATTCTATAAAGTCCTTGTTCCACTCAACTTTTACCTTGAACTTTAAAGGAAATAACTTAATATGTTTACATCATTATTATTTTCCGGGCAGCTCGATTCAAAGAATGAGATTTTGATAATCAAATTGAACAAAACAACATTCATATCATATGGCATTCAAGATCAATTAAATTTATCTCGCCAAAAATCTTCCCCAATCAAACTATTAGCAGGGTAATAAAGGCTTGCAGTAAAATGTTCCACAAGTATTTGACCCACTGCTACAAGACAAGAAGTTCAACATTTCATTTTAGATGGGAATCCATGAGGCTAGAAGACCTAACTCAGTTGCGATCCATGTTCCAAACCTAAAGAGTAACTATTGTCAATTACATCCTGAAAACAGGATGACGGGGGAAAGAAATGAATCATATGTATTACCAGTTAATTATGATGTTCCATTTAATCAATAAGATTTTTTTTCACCCTTTTCCAAAATAAGAATTGTTACATTAGGATTTCGTCTTATATCATTAATTAATTTTCTTTATTAGCAATCAATTAAAAAATAACTAATGATTGATCTTTATTTCTGACAAATTAAGAATGTAAATAATTAATTCAAAATTATTAATTAATTATTTTCTTTGGGAGAGTCTTACCTTCAATCTCCCATATTTTGTCAATGGGGGTTGATCAAATAGGAGAAAGATAAAGATGAGTATACCTTCAATCTCCCATATTTTGTCAATGGGGGTTGATCAGATAGGAGAAAGATAAAGATGAGTACGAGAATGATGTACATTTTCCTCTAAAAAAAAAGATAAGAATCATTCCTCCTTTCCTTTTGTTATCTCAGATGATTGTTCTAGATTCCTTGTTCATCTTTTGTTCATAAGCTTGTCTTATAATTATTCTATTTTTGTTGACTTGATCTTCTTATGTGCAGCAATCTTGTTTGATTTCTAATTCATAATTACTATATAATTGACGTGGACATATTTTATATTTTTCGATTTAGTTAACTCTTCATGATCTTTTTATCATTAGCTGCATGTTGAATATATACTTTGGTAAAGATGATTTCAATCATGAATTATTTTATATGTTAGAATATGTTAATTATTTTATTTGATTTCAACATTATTAGTTGATTACATTTTAGAATATGTATTTATATAGTGATCCTCTCGTAGAGATTAACTATTTGTCTTTGGGAACCCAACTACTGTACACACGTCTCTCATGATATAAAAGAAAAAGAAGGCTCATAGCAGAAGAAAACAAACTTCGGTGAACGTAGATCGGCTGATCTCAACATGCATAGCCTAAGATGTGATCAAGTAATCAACATGCATATTAAATTAGAGGAAAGGAAGGGCTCTCCTAAAGGAAATAATTTTCGAATAATGAATCAGTTAGCCAATTAACTACATTCCTGATCTTTTATTTAATTAGGTTGCTCAATCAAGAAAATAAATTAATTATATAAGACAACATCATAATATAGCAAGCAATTCTTATTTTGAAAAAGGGTAAAAAAAAGTCTCGTTGATTATATTCTATCATTAATCAAATATGCAGCATCCAATCGATGATAGAATGCCCCCTTCAGGATTGTGTGGTCAGTTCAAAATTCATTAAATTGATGTACTTCTTTTAAACGGAAAACTCAACACGCTATTGCACTCCTAATTAGAATATTAACTTGAATATCATCTAGCTTGTAAGTATCCTTTGCGATACCACAGATGAATTCAAGACAACTCGGCTAGGTGAAAAATATCAGCAAAATTTTGAACAAATGACAACGGGAACTTTTCCTGTAATACCAAGGATTATCAACTCGTAAACATATAGTTTTTAACCATTAATGCGGTTGAATGACTACAATCGATGCCCAAACCTGCTCACAATCATATAAGATCCGCTAAATCAACCAATACTATGAAAAATACAAACTTTTTTGCAACAAAATCTATTCGTAGAATTCTAAAAAAAGGTTTTGATACTGAAAAGGAGGAATGCGAAGTCTGGGAAGGGTAATGTACGCAGATAAAATCAGATCAAAAAAAAAGAAAGACTTCGTCCATACGAATCATATCAGAGACGTCGCAAATGAAACTTCAAGCAACAGATTCTAATTGACGCAATCGGGGGTCGTGAAAGACCCTAAATCGAGCATCAGATTCGCATCACATAAACGCACGGATAACGAAATAGATCCAGAATCCGGTGCCAAACGCCAATCAAACCACGAGAATAAAGGAGGAAGAACAGAAGTTGACGACATACAGATTGGTGGAGGGACCGCGGTTGCAGCAGAGACGGGCCAAGACGGAAGCGACGACGCCCACCACGACGAAGATGATGGTCGTCATCAAGAACCCCATCGGCAAACCCTCTATCTTCTATGCTTCGATCTCCTCCTCCGCGTCGTCCGTTCGCGATCGAGATGGATGGGGTGTTCGTGGGTGCTCTTCTCGTCATCTGTGTCCGACATCGTTTTAACGACCCGCAACCGTGGAGGTCTCACGTACCCGATAAATTATTGGACTTTGGATTGTATGCAATTGAATCCGCATCCGACAATATACAAATAATACACAGTCAACGTAACCCTTGCTAAAATTGACCATATGAGCTCATGTTGACTATTCATACCCATGCTATGACAGACACTACACACACAAAGCAATCGAGAATTTAGTTGGGTGATGGATGATTCTCAAAGCCAAAGAAGAGTTGGCTGTGACTGAGGTCCATTTAAGTGCCACAATCATACGATTTCCACAGAAGCTGATGGCAAGGGTGATCGCAAGGACCATATGTACCACAAGCTGCTCCAACCAATATTACTCCCATCTTGTCACTGAAAAGGCTGCATTCCAGGATGTGTTCTTGTAGCAGCCAACTCATTCTTGCATAATGGCTTCCGGGAAAGCAGTGGGGGATGAATTCTTCTTGTTCTAACATTATCTGATAGCACTTTGAAATGGAGATGAAGAGAGTGACTAGTAGAACACATTTGCAGGAAGTCTTTGATGTTCCATGAACCTTAGACATAGCAAACAGAGCAACGAAGAGGTGTTGAGAGGGAAAAACACCTGTGCGTCTCTCATGTACAAAGCTTATCCCACACGATCTCGGTCAGCCATCCGCGATTCCGGCGAAAGGCAGGGTGGCGGGACGGCGGAATGGGTGGCGCCCTGCCGACGACGGCGCGAGGTGCGGCGCCGCGGTCACCCGCTCGCACCGGGGGCACATGGTCAAGGACGAGGCCGGCAGCGGCTGGCGGGTGTGGGGGGAGAGCACGGTGGGCGGGGCCACCCGCAGCGCCCGCAGCTCCTCCACCTCCCGCTGCAGCCGGCGGTTCTCCTGCGTCAACGACCCGAAGCACCGCTTCAGGAACTCGCACTCCATCTCCGTGTGCTTCAGCTTCGTCCTGCACCACAACGCAAGTAGTGCTATACGTCATGGTATTTCCAGGCAAAGCCTGCAAGCGGGTAATGCCACAACCACAGCATCTAACGATCTCTTATCTACTTCTCCTCATTTGTCGTGTCCTCGCTGTCCGAGCGATATCTCACCTTCCTCAACGTGACCAAGTAAACACGAGCCTTAAATGAGATCATTAACTCCCAAGTCAAAGCAACAGCGACGAGGACGCCGTGGGCGGTGAAGGAGAAGAAAGGAAAGACGAGGAGGAGCATTAATCATCGCTCACCTGGCCCTGCGGTTCTGAAACCACACCTCCACTTGGCGCGGCCTCAGTTCCAGCTTCATCGCCAACGCTTCCTTCTGCTTCTGCCGTTTCGTTCATTTACAACGTCAGTACTTCACACCCATCAAATACCAACAAAACAAATGCGCATTTATTACAATGCTTTGACCTGCAGAGAGTTGGAGGAGGGTTTTGGAGGATGACTCACAGGGTTCAAGGTGTGATGCTGCGTAAAGCTCTCTTCCAGTAGCCTAGACTGCTCCTTGGAGAGCCGGAGCTTCTTGGGCCTGGGAGTCCCGCCCTCCTCTTCCTCTTCGTCGACGCTTCCCATGGGGTAATCCTCCTCTCCGCCATAAGCTGGCTGGTTTATGTCCAAGTCCCTCATGCTGCCACCACCACCACCCGCTGCTATATATGGACCCAAGACATCCAAGAAAGAAGATGAAAAGACAGTGGAAGATGCAGAATCCACGGCTACGGAGGAGAGAGATGAACAGAAGGAGAGCCTACCAGACCAAACTGGGGAAGAAGAAGAAGAAGAAGAGCTCGAACCAGGAACACCAATGGTGAGGTCCAGCCCGGATGGGCTCCTCCCGAGACTCCCCATCGGCCACCCCAAAAGACAAGGAAGAGCATGTGGTGCGGCCAGTAAAAGGGAGGAGGTTTTAGAGATAATGGAAAGAGGAGGAGGGGGTAGAACGGTAAGTGCGGAGGAGAGAGAGAGAGAGAGAGAGCGGATTGTGGGGTCGGGGCAGGTGCGGCAGGTTGACTCGAGTGGTCACGTCAAACGGGCGCAGTAAGGGGCGGGGTGACTGACACGCGTCAGGGTGTATCCAGGAGCAGACTCGGCAGGTCACCCTGTCTGGGGTTGCCGAGTCGGCCTGTCGGATCCAAGGACGGCTGCCGTAATCATCGGATATAGATAAAGATTTTCTTATATATTTATATATATATATATATATATATATATATATATTCTCTCTCTCTCTCTTATGCTCTTATCTCTGTCTCATCGGTTGGCCAGCAACTCTTTAATCCTCGTTAATGCATTTGCAGGCACACAGAGAGAGAGAGAGCAAATCCTTCTTGGATTACCTTTTTTTTCACGCCTTCAATTAAAGGTTTGAAAAATAGAATTAATAAAAAAATCGGAAATTAAAACATTTGAGCAATTAGATTTTTTACTAAATAGAACCGTCTGCATTTTAAAAAAGAAAAATGAAATAATCTCTTTGTTCAGTTATCTAAAGTTTTCCAATGATATTTAAAATAATAATAAATAGTAATTTTTCTTATATTCTTCTTTTTATCCCCTTCCTTTCAGGTGTTTGTCCCACCAATGGATTCTCGGAGACAAATATATTTTTATAAAATATAAAAATTATCATTATCAAAAAGTACTTCTCATCAGTTGTAACACTGTCATAGCAAAACAATGTCTTTGTATCCCTTCAACAAGGGACAAAAATTAAGGTACCAATCAACTATTTGCTATTGGAACTCACATTAGGTTTTGTGGGTAGTACGCATCAAACCACATCACTCGTCATGTGTTGGTGAGAGGGATGTGTGTGTTTGTGTGGGTCTCTCTCCAAAGTGGTCATCAGTCACTTTTGTTGGTGTCAGTGTCCCTCCATCATCCCAAAGGCACTCCAATGGTTTTGTTTTGATTGAGAAGTGGAGGATGGAACACATTCAATTAGCACTCCAATTTCACATTTTGATTTTGATTGAGAGAATTGAAGGATTGAACACATTGACATTAGCACTCCAATGTCAACATCTATGCATCTTTAGGTCCACTTACCAAAGGCATAGGTTTCCCATGCTCATAGTATCCATGATTTTGATGGACAAAACAATGGTCTAGTATTATTATTATTATTATTATTATTATTATTATTATTATTATTATTATTATTACTATTATTATTATATATGAAGTAGAGAAAAATTTAGGTTTTTAATAATTAGTATTTTAATAATTTTGATATATCTAAAGATATTAATAAAGATTAAATCATAATAAGATTAGGTTGACCTCAATATCAGCATAAATAATAAGATATTGAGAATCATGTTGATTGCATTAGTATCATGAAAATTAAGAATCATGCGGATTGCATTAGTATCATGTTGATTGCATTAATATCATGTTGATTGCATTAGTTTGGGTGTCATAAGTATGATAATTGTAACATTATATAACAACGGTAGATAGATACATGAGGCAAGAAAGAAAAAAAACACTAGAATTTTTAATAATTATTTATTTTTATAATTTTATCAGTAGCTTATAAGATATTGGTGGGAATTGAAGAAGAGAATATGTTAAATTTTATATTTTGGTTATTAAATGATATATTAATTAATTATAATAAGATTCCCTTTCGACCAGATTTGTATATAACATATATTATCAAGTGATTAGCTTTTATAGTATTATTATCCGTAAATAAAATTGAAAATGGGTTGATGTGGGAGGTTGAAGGGAAGTGAGCATTAATGTAGTTATTGACGTAAAAATTACTGTAAATTGTAGAATGGAGAGAAGATGAAGGAGGCCATAATATCATCTATAAAGTGATTGATATAGTGGACACATTCAGACTTCAGGAATGAGCTGCCTTTGACAAGAAACAGTGTGACCTATATATATGGAAGTAGGAATTGTTCTAAAAACACATTGAGAAGCTACAAAGTTCTACAATTTATTTGTAGGTGAAAACATGTATGATGATAGGAGTTTGATCTTCACATAGTATGGTACAACTAATCTAATATTTTTATATTTTGTCTATTGATCAGAGAAAATTAAATGTTAAGTATAATGTTATGAGTACAATGGAATATGAATATTTAGTTTTAGTTCCCTCTGCTTCTCTGTAGACTAATTTCCTGCAATTTAAGTATTTAAAAAGATCCCTTATTTTGTCCTTTAACATTAAGTAAATAGTAATAATAATAATAATAATAATAATAATAATAATAATAAGTTTCATGCCTTGAAATAATAATATATCTTATATCTATAAAATAGATATATTTATATTTATTTAATATATCTCATCTTAAATTATTCATAGTAATAAGATTAATAAATGTAGACATATACTAATAGAAGGATGAAATAAGAAATAATTTTATATTCATTATCCTAGTATCTTCTTACATAACATTTTAATTTATATCTTTTAACATATTTTATATTTATTGTAATTTTATATTTATAATATCTATAGTTATATTTCTCATCTTCACTGCAATTATAATATCCTGAAGAGCTCTTATTTATATAAAATAAGAATAGTTTATTCCAATATTAAGATTAGGATAATCTAACAAGGCATTACATGTTTTCACCCATACAACCATCCCATATAGCAACTAATTATGTGCTTTTTATTCACATAATCTTATCGATCCGATTCAACGATATCGAAATTTGACAATGATTTATTCCAATCGAATAAAATAAAAATATGACTATCGCTAACAATCAAATGAGTATTTAATTTTATACACAAACCCGATTAAGGAACACCTAAACCAAGTTTAATCAGACTTGATGATAGTAAATATACATTAAAAACATTTGTTATCATTATCATTCAATAAAAGAATGGTAAATCTATTTAACCCAAATAAAATCCAATTAAGATATATATGGAATTAGTTGAAATAAATCGAATCAATGTGAACGAAAACAAACATCACCACATCAAAACATAAGCTTGGCATGAGTTGGAATTCGAGCGAATCGCATTCCTAAACCCGAATCGAGCTACCCTACTTGTTCAATATATGATTAGTGAGTGCTAGGATCCAATTCAACAGGTAGCTGCTGTTCCTGCCTTGGGATTTAAGGAGGTTGTAGTGATGAGGAGGAGCTGTCCTGAGGAAGCATCATGGTTTGGGAAGCTGTATGATAACGGAAGGTAGAGAGATAAACCATTCGAGGCCATAATAGTTGGATGTAAGGTTTACAAAGATAATTCTATGCTAAGATATTTGTGAATGTCTTAATGACTTCAATTAATCTCACTTAGGATCTATGTTTAGAGGAGGAAAATTTAGTTTCTCCGTTGCGACTCTTCCTGTCCTCTTTTCTGTCTCTCTCCTCTTAAGCCAATGAAAAAGAATACAGAGAAATAGGAAGAAAATTTTGAGGAAAAAAACAAGAAAGAAAAGATTTCCACTTTCATTTTTTTCTTTAATTAATATTCTTATTTTTTATTATTTTTATATTATTATTAGTATGCTAATATCTTCCGATTCTTCAAGATCGTAGGAGAATCTACCCAATTATACCTTGAATGATTTATTATTAGATATACCAAGGAATACACTTAGCATAGGTTTTTGAATTTTTCTATAATTTCTATTTGATTTTTCACTTACATTATATATTTTTATTTAATTGAAGTATAGATTTTAGTATTATTGCTTTAATAATTTTTTTGCAAAGGAAACTAAGGTGAGACATTCATTAGTCAAGCTTATGCTTGAATTAGTAAAAATAACTAAGAATGTCTATATTTTCTTAGTCTTGAATTTGTCGGCTTAGTCATTCATTATTATAATTTTTTAATTAGTAGTCCCACGTAAGTATGATTAAGATTGACTTATAGAGGTCTGACGAATATATTTGATGGGTCAACTACCCTATCACTCGGGACTTAGAGCATAGTGTTTCTCATGATTGTCAATTTCTTGATTCATCATATTATATCTATCTAACTTGAGCAATGCAGAATGATGTTACTGTCCCAGTGAGCTTGTCTAGGTTTTGTGTTTGTAAGACTTTGCACTTCAATATTGACAACTTTATACCAAAACAATGCTGCTGTTGACTGACCTTTCTCCAAAAAACAAAAAGCCACCCATCATTACAACAGATCCGAAGTAGGTTCAGTTCAATATTTGGTGAGAGCAGGTGTAATCAGAGTTGGCAAAAGATAGATAGATAGATGGTTAGATGTATCATTGAGATGCTCATAGACATGTGAGAGACTTCCAAGCTGCAAGTTTCTTGTGTTTACACATTGCAGATAAGGATTAGATACAACTTTGATGATTCTCTTCTCCACAATCATTCAATGCATGTTAGTGTTCCTTCCCTTCCCTTCTCCATGTCATAACTCTCCTCATCTTAACACTCGTTCGTAATTTCAATCTGATGCAATTTTACCCAAAGGAATCTCGACAGAGTAAGCACATCAAACATGCCAATTATTGATGCCAATCGATTCAAGCTCAGAAGCATTTGTGTATATATATATTATATCCACAACATGATGTAATGATCGGAAATATGTGCACATACAAAACAACACTGGTTTAGGTCACGGATGACAATAATGTTGGCATGTTCTCTTTCATCCAAATAAAAGCTTACCATCAAAACATGATTCGGCACAAGCAATAATGGAGGGTGAGCCATGCAAAGCCCGGAGTAGTTCATGCATCAAACACAGCAGGAAGAAGAGAAAAGGCACACCACCTTACCTAACACTAACCTAATTCTCTTATATATACATCGCAGCTTTCCCTCTCGGTCACAACAAGGAAGAAGACGAAGAGCATAACTACGTTGTCGGAGAATGCAACGAGGCAACCCGAACTCGCCGCCACCGCGCATCAAGTCGATGCTTGTTGTGGTGCTGGTGATGGCTTCCATGGTGGCCGGAGGCTCAGCGACAGTAGAGCGCGATGTGGGGTCCGATACGCAGGTCAAGTGCACTTGCTATCCCTGCGGTTGCGCACAAAGCCCGCCGCCACCACCACCGCCGAAGTGGCCAGTGCCATACTGTCCACCTCCACCGCCGGCGCCGTTTCTTTACATAGTTGGCGCGCCGGGCAATCTGTACCCGTTCGATACTGCAAACTTCCCCTCGAGCTCCTGCCGGAGCTTCGCCGGGCTGACGCCGGTCTTTGTGCTCTCCGGGCTGGTTGCGCTGTTGATGTTGTGGTGGCTATGACTCGTGTTGTTTCATGCCATGCTCCTTCATCTGTAACGCTCTTCGAGTTAGATTTCTGCTCTGCAATCTCAAGAATTTGAGTCAAGAAATTAATTGCTAAATAAACTACTATTTCTAAATGATTATTTTTCTTTTTCTTCTGATCGCTCTCAATAATTAAAGTGTTCCACAGTTTGATCAGTGTTCATGTCACTTGTTTGATAAGGAAATCATGGAAACTAGGATAATTCTAATGCTGCTTTAAGCCTTAGCATATCATTTTTTTTCATGTTAATTTCCTTGGAATATTTGAGATTTATTTCTCCAGACCATATTAATCAAACCATTGATTGCATGAGATGAGGACAATGATTCAATTATGTCAAGTTGGACTTTGAGTCAATTAAGAAGGGATGCATATGTGTGATATTTTATTCCATGCTACTTATAATAATTACAATGATTGCAAGTGTCTACCTGTTGGTGGGTGCATAAGGTTGGACCAGCATCATCAGTGTCATCTTCCTGGTCTAAAATTGAGGCTCCATTTCATGTTAAACTTTGACTTTGAAGTCAAAATAAGATTTGGAGATGGTCCAATTAGAGATCAAAGAGATACCAATGGGTGATCAATTTTTATACTAAATGTAATATTTTTTTGTTTTTTTTAAGGGTCAAAATTTTTACCAACTAAACCAATGTTTCATTTTTTTTTCTTTTTAAGAATTATAATATCTTAATCAATTCACTTTTGGAGAGGCTCTGTTTATTAACCAATTGGAGGCTGCCACGTAATTGTTGACTGGTCAAACAATAATTCCATCAGAAACGATCGACCGCTTCGCTTCTGTGACTTCTCCGTTCTTTGCCATGTCGTTCACTCCATCGCCAACATTGACGGGTTCAATTGTCTCGCACCGAGGACGGCCGCACAAAGTCAAGTCAAAGAAGGCCTACTGCTCGATCGCAGTGGGAATGTTATATACTGTGAGCTCCGCTTAGAGCCTCTCGTGAGCTGAAGGTGAGGACTAATGGAGAGCATCAGCACTCAGGTGTTCCACAGCATCCACTCGTACTGGCGGCGCCGGACTTATCGGAGACTGGACGCAACCAAGAAGCAGGCGAAAGCGATACGGCTCGGCGGAGGCGGAGGAGGAGGAATAAGGACGAGCAGCTGGCGATGTCGGAAGGCGAAGGTGGTGTGGCGGACGCTTCGGTTGCGGCCGAAGGTGTGGTCGGCGCCGCTACGGCTGCTGGCGTGGGTGCGGAACGCTTACGTGGACGCGATGCTGGCGCTGGCCGGCGGGAAGGGCCGGCCGTCGGCGCTGAGCAGGGTGAGGAGCGGCTCCGAGGCGCTGTGGGGGAGGAGGATGCCGAGGGCGAGGCAGGCGAGCGGCAGGTCTGCAGACTTCGAGAGGAGGATGATGATGCATCTGATCCATTCCATTGTAGAGCCGGAGTTGCCTTGTCGTGAATGAGTAATATGGATGGAGCAGTTGTACGTAAATCTCATGCATTACTGCTGGATTTAATGGTTTCTTTTCTTCAAGAGAATATTTTTCTCAAATAATAATGTAAAGAGATGGCTTTGAGTTGCATTGTGGCTGATGTTGATTTCATGTGCTCATGGTGTTTGCTCATTTAAGTTAAGCCGAACTAAGTTGATCCTTCTTAATATCCATTGTTATAAAATTACGTTCATTCCTTGCCAATAGCACCAACTTTCATGTGCACACCCATCAATTAAACTTAGACACTTGAAATTGTAAGTTGTAAGAGGTAATTGAGCAAAACTGATGGGGAATTAGCTTCCATACCTTGGAACGGAAAGGAACTGGGTGAAATAGCAAGCAACAACAGAGTAAAGAACTTGAACTGAGACTCCAAGTAAGATTAAGGTTACTCGGATCCACAAGAAACATTTTAACACTCATGTTCACTGCCTTCTACGACAGATCTTATTGAGACAGAAACTGAAACAGACGAACGAGTAGTAGTAATGCAAGCAAGCAGACCCTTGAAGGAAGCTCCATGCCATGGCTCACCTGGAGGGTCCTCCAGGGGGGCTCATGTTGGCTGTAGGAGAAGGTGGCGTGAGCAGTGACTCCCTGCCCAGGCTCACAGATCCTTGTGTGCTCACCTCACCATCTCCGCCTGCATACGTGAATCCATACAAGTAGGCTTCAGATTAGAAAACACAGAACAAGATGGTGAAATCAACGTCAGACCTGTGTTTGGATGATGGTGGACTGGGACTTCTCTGCAGTGGGATGGAGAGACCAGGAGAGCTGAGAAGAGGAGAGCTGCCACTAAGATGGAGGTGATGGCCCTGGGAGTGGAATGCTCCATTGAAGGACCTGTTGATTTCGGATGGATGAGCAAACGAAACACAGAGAGAGAGAGAGAAAGAGAGGTGGGTATAGGCAATTTGGTTAGTTGACTATTTGTCTGCATCTTTCATGACATGTGGTACGTCTAGATCTGAAGGGCGCATTAACCAAGGTTGACCCAGACCATGGCTGGCGTTAGTCAAAGGCCTGCACTCCATTAGATTCCGACAGACAAGACGAGAAAGAGGCATGAAATTGATGAGATCATGATATCTCAATTTTAAGTGCCTCCACAGCAAACAAACAAACAAACAAATGCCAGTTTAACAGCAATCTTAAAAGCCTCTACGTATGCACCTGCTAAGACCACAGGGAACTCGAAAGATTACCTCCTTATCCATCAAAATGGTTAAAGAAAGACTTGGACACAGCAAATACTCCATCAACCAACCTTGAGAAAACAAGAGGACAGCATGAATACTATTTTTAAAGGAATTCTGCTGGTCTCCTGACATGCTAAACAGAGGAAAAAGGAAAGCAGATGAACTAACTTAGAAGCAGCAAGCCCACAAATCTTTAGTACTGATCATTGGCATTGTGATCAATATTGAAGGTGGTACAACATACTCACGTTGAGCTCTAAAACAAGAAAAATATTCTCCTACAAACATGTAGCCCGTCCTCTTGTCTTGATCATGCTTCCTCTGTTAATGTATCACAGGTTTAAGAGGATGCGCCCTGAGTTTGGACAAGTCGAGATTTGCATCCAGTTCTTCATCTAACTCTCCCACTACACTTCTGCACACACACGAGTTATATTTAGGACTGCTGGATTGGTAGTGTCAGAAACAGCAAAGTTTACAGGGTACAGAGTGGAAGTAAAACAAGGCCTGTCTAAACTCAGGAGCCATACATGTTATCGCCTCTTATAATATAGAGCCCTAAGACAAGTTGCTGCACACCTTCCTGCAAAATAGGCCAAAAGAAATGTCACAGATTGTGGATCTCAAAATGTCTAATCCTGGTTATCAGATCTCACGTTCTTGCTCCTTCCAAGGATTTTAATGTGAAATGAAAAATAAAATCAAGTAAAAAAACAGACAATGAAATACACTGCAATTGAAATAATATTCCGGTTGGAAATGGTAAAAAGATGAACGAACCTTGGTAGAGTAAACCCTCTCATGAGATTCATCAAGAATAATATTTGTAGCCTGGTCAAAGCCTCTCAAAACTCCCTACACAAGAAACCCAGGGTCAACAAATCACTAATGGGGGATGAGTATTATACTAAGCCACAAAAAAGAGTTAGTTCCTGTGTAAAAGGAAAAGAAAAAAATGTCAACAAATCACTAATGGGGTATGAGTATTATACTAAGCCACAAAAAAGAGTTAGTTCGTGTATAAAAGGAGAATTGAAAAATGCCACCAAATCATAAATTAGCTTAACTCTAAACAAGTAACAAGGAGAAATGTTCCATGAGAAACTCAGGAACACTAAAAGCTGCTACAATGACTGATATTGTTTACAATTATAGCAACTCACCACAATGTTGCGCCCATCATTTGTAATGACTGATATTGTTTCTGCATCAGAAAAAAACATTAGCTTTTGCTTCATCAGTTCAACTCATTATTTAAAAGTCAAAGATCCATAAAATCATGTGCAGCAGTATCACTACATATGAAAGTAGAATTAGTGGAACTGAACATCATTACTCTAAAGTAACTAAACTTTGAAAGATGAAGATTGATCACAGAGCACATACGATCTACCAATGACTCGAGTCCAGGGCCTGTTGACATGTCTAACTGCAACTATCTCAATGGGGGTTTTTGCTCTTCCAGGAAGCACTGCAAGAAAGCTGAATGATCATTATGCAGGTTAAACATAGTTCTGCAGACACCATGACATCTAATATCACCAGTAATTCTACATAGACTGGTAGGGACTGTAACAAAATCGAAATATAATAAAGATGAACCTGTAATTAGATATAATTTCATCCAAGATAGTCAACTTGGAGAAATTTCACATAACATCAAAAGTATGGCAATATCAAATACCAGATTACCTAAACATATCATACTTCAGAAATATCACTTTGCAGAGTTTGTAGCTTAGAGTGTGTGGTTACTCAAAAGAAATGGTGAACTTGTGAATTTCTGTTCGGTATATGCTAGTTTCACAGTTAGGTACAGCTGACATAAAGTCTGTTACGAGCAGAATTGGCATGGCCCCACAGCAAGGTGGGATTAGTTACGACTGAGCATATTGGATTCATGTGAACTATCATGAACTTCTATTATCCACCAAAAGATACAGGCACAGGTAACAGACAGATGGAAGTCAACAAAGATCAGTTTCTTGAAGGCAATTGAGCATTTTGTTACATGCAACAGTCCCCGATCAAAAGTTTTAGGGCTCACTGATCTATATAAACATATTCATGAGTTTAGGAGAAGAATGAGAGATGATAAAGTCAACATAAAGATTGTCGAAAAGGTGGCAAAGAGGAATCCTAATATTTATGTGTCTTTGAAAAGTAAGATGCTCCCTTGCTGCTGAAAAAGTTAATTATTTCCTTTATATGCCATGTTGGGGTGTGTGATTAAGAATTTTAATAGAAAATATTCTTAAGACAGTAGATGCACTTCTTTTAAATTCAAACACATTCTTATTTGGCTGTCTATGTAAACAAAGTGACATATCTTACAGGATTCGAATGTCACAACTAGTTTCTAAGATTTTCAAACACAAATCTTATAGCTCTATTTAGCAAGATGGATGACAGAAGTATTATGTCTGTTAGAAACCTAAAGAGAAGATATAAGAACATGCAGCACATTGAACAAAGTGTATGTTACAATCCTCGTGGGTTTGTGTCAAGAATCCCTTCAGCAGTTGCTTGCAGGATGTAGGTTTGCCAGTATACTATGCTCAAATCCCAGCTTTCAATGACCTTGATTTCTTGTACAATAGGATTAGTGAACAATGCATCCTAGAGAGGGTGGCTTAAGTACAAATGATAGAATTTTATACACGCCTTAATTAATTTTATACCTTCTGAAACCTTTAGAGATGAAGTAGCCAATCAGTTAAGATTTGGAATTTTCTAAAGGACATAGTTTTGCCAGAGAGAGATGCAATTCTGAAACCATATGGGGATGGTTGGAACTTGGAATCACCTCCACTGAACTGACCAGATTCTAACTTCAATTGGTGTTTCTCCAAAACACAATGGTGGGGCAGGTACATACAATGCTTATGGTGACACGATGCTTACGGCGACATGTTTCATGAAAGCACCAAATGCAGGCATAAAGCATGAGCTATCCTAAAGCTCTCATGTGATGGAAAGTCTAATTGCCAGCCAATAGCTAATATGCAGAACAGAACGCCCTCCGTGCCAATTTCATTTGCAAGGAAGACATCAGTCCTTGAGTGATCCATGGTGTCGTAGGTGACGTAGCCTTTCTCACAAAACCTTTCGTATTATCAAAGAGAGCATGTTTTGCACAATGTATGACACATGAATTTTGGTACAGCTTCCAGTGCTTTTGAGTGGAAGGTTGTGGGAAGGGATACAAGTAGTACGACTAAGGAATTATCAGTGACACAAGGTGCTAAAAGACACCCAAGGTGTTCGGCGTGCTAGACACCCGTCAATATACAAAATATAAAAATATAATTAAGGAAAATATAATCATTGAGAATAAAAATTAGACGATGCATAAGTTCCACAACATTTCATTTCAAAGTATCACCACTAAAACATCGAATCAAAAGTCCAAGAATTTTGACAAGCATTCTAGCGATGACAATTCCATAATTAACATAATTCATAGAGTATTAACTAGAATTAACTATTATTAACATGAACTAGGCATGACTATTATTAACAACTATTAAATTCAGGATGAGGCAGGGAAGGGTGCTGAGAACAGTAGGAGGTCGGTTGAGGGTAGGGGAAGGCAGAGAAGAAGGGCTGACTGCAGCCGGGGTCGAGGGCCTAACAGCGGGAGAACAAGAGAGCGGAGAACGAAGGGCGACCAGAGAGGGGCTGGCGGCTGGATGGCACATGGAAGCTTGTCCCGGGGCGGGGCGCCCCCCGGGGGGGGGGGAGGGGGGGGAGAGAGAGAGAGAGAGAGAGAGAGAGAGAGAGGCGACCGCTCTACTGGGAAGAAGCAGAGAGCAGGGAGGATGGGATGGGGCTGTACCGCCGGCGGCCAGGCGAAGCGGGAAGGGGGGAGGTGTCGATGTCGTCCGCGAGATGGGAGGCGCAGCCGCGTTGGGGCAAGCCTTGCGCACGGACGCCGGTCGCCGATCGTCGGCCGCTTTGCAGCGCAACAGGGAAAGAAGGGGTGGACGATTAGGTTTTCTGCGAAGATGCCACCGCGCGCGGGGGTTGTCAAGGGTTTACGGTTTTTTTATTTGATTTGATCAAACCAAGGCGGCTCGAGCCAGGAGCCAATCAAAGACTCGACCCAGATCTGATCAAATGCGCCTGGGCCGAATCTCAAATTTCCCAATACAACCGGACCGGACCGGACTATCGAACCCTCAATCGATTCGATCCCCCATACTTGGACCGTTCCAGTCGATCGAAATACCTTCGATTTTTCTTATGACTTTGTATATTTGAGATGGATAACTATTAAGGACATGAAATGATGAAATCCTAAGACATAAAAGCATTTATTCAAGAATTATTTTGAGGTCCCAGTTTTCTGTCAGCATAGCATAATTCTTCCGTGACCATCTCCTAATAGTGGGCTAGTGGGCATGTGGGCAACAGCGAGCTACTTGCAGAGCATCATGCCAAGATTCGTGCTGGTGACAATGATGAAGAATCTTGATCCATGAGAACCCCAACCCAAAAATGGGCATTAGGATCACCCAACGAGAAGCAGCATGATGCTATGTTGCCATTTGTGGCGGATCCATACGCGCAGAGACGACGGTGATACTGGAGAGCGAACGCAACCACTTGATGGCCGGAGATAGAGGGGGATAAGGTACTGTTCCACTTCTTCCTTCATCTGCTCTCCGGGAATTCCGGCTAAGTTGCATGAATCCAGCAACTAATTATTTTCTTAGATCAGGATCCAATGACTGCTGTAAATTTCTCTCGGGCCTCCTATAAATAGGAGGGTACGAAGGGTTTCATGGGTCCTTGTAGGTCTTTTGAGTTCCTCTCTCTTGTTCCTGGTGAGAAGCAGAGGAGGCACGTCGGTGATGCTGTTGACAGAAGATAGAGAGCACAGATGATGGCTTGCAACTCTTTTTGCATTCCACTCCTTTGTGCTCTCTATGCTTCTGTCATCACCTTCGGCCCCTTGCACACAGCCACCGTCAGGATCTTTGTAGTTGATGCCCCGTTCGAGTTGCTTCTCGAAAGCTTCTTACGACCCTTGGATGTTCATGAAGAAGAAGAAGACAGTGCAGCTTCCGATGGAAGATTTATGGTGATGGAATCAAACAGCACTATAGACATGCGTGAAGAACCACCGTTCGTTACACTTCCTCTTTGACATCTTCTTCGACAGTGAAGGAGGAGACATGAAACGCCCGAGGAAGCTCCGTGGTGGTGTCCAAGAAGAAGAGCAGGCAGCACATCACCACACTGCTCGCCAGCATCGGTATCGGCCCAAAAACCCAGAGGAAGAGGGTGAAGGACACGTAGAACGCCCTCAGGCCGAGAGACCAGAAGAGGCTGCCTCGGTCCAAGCTCCTCGCGGCGTGCTCCGGCGTGACGGGCCCTGCCACCGGCTGGCTCATGAGGAAGCCGGCGTGCGTGTGGTACCGGACGGACTGCACGTTGCAGAGGAAGGCGAGGATGAAGCATAGCAAGAGGGCGAAGTACTTGATGGAGCGCACCACGGAGGACTTGTTGCCGTAGACGAGGGAAGAGGTGGCGGTGCTGGTGGTGGCGCTGACGAAGACGCTGATGAGGGAGGCGAGGGTGACGGCGGTGGTGGCCAGCGCGGTGGACGCCATGATGTCGTTCCTCAGCGTTTGCACCGCCAGAGTGCCGTTCCCGAGCGGGTCCTGTTCAGCGTACACATTAATATATATATATATATATATATATATATATATATATATATATATATATATATATATATAAAATTGTATATATAATTAAAAATAATTGGCGATATTATAATTAATTTGACTAAAAAATTAAATTATTATTTAATCGGACCAAACAATCATAAATGTGAACTTCCAATTTAATTTTTTTATCTGCATTTTTTCGTATATTTTGGTCATTATACTAACACTCTTGAGTCATACAGGAAGGAACTAAAACATTCTTAAAGAAGACGAGGAGATGCAGACTTACAGTCATCATGGCTCTGAGCCACCGGTGCTTGACCTGGGCGTTCACGCCGATGACAGTGCGATTGGGATGTCGGACTATGGTGAAGAAGAGCCATATGTGGTAGGTGGCCTGCAGCAGGAGACCCAGCGGAACCATCACCATGTCCAAATATTTCTCCTCCATCTCTCCGCACCTCCTCCTTCTTCTTCTCTGTGCTGTTGCAGGCTATTAAAAGTGTTCGGAGCAAGGTTGAGGAAGAAATAAGCAACGCATGGAGAGGCTGAAAAGGCATTTAGAAGAGTTATTGGTTAACAGAGACGGGACCGAACGCTTCCCTTGTACCCAAGTTTCATTGGTAAAGCGTGTGGGAGTTGTTCTTTGAACCTGTCCTCTTTCCGGATGATCCCAATACCTCTATTACGCGAGATTAAGATAAACAACTGTTCCAGAAATTGTTGGCCTCCGAGGATCGTCCAGAGAAGCCACGAATCGAATCGATCCATGCTTGTAGGTTTCCTCGCATGCCCAAATCAATTTAGACTAAGAAATGAAAAGAGGAGAAATATTCTTTAAATCAACTCTAACTGAGAAAAGAGGAGAAATATTTTTCTATATGCATGCATATAATATAAGTACATATGGAATCTAATGAAGAATGTCATGCAGCATTACTAATCAGAAATCCATGTTTGATTAAAGGATGAAAAAGGAATTGATTAAAGGAATATATATATCACCTGCAAACAAATAATCTTAGCATGATATTTTTTATTCATTAGTGACAAAACAGAACAACCTTGTAAAGATTCAAGCATTGCTGAGAAAAAGAAGCCATCAACATTTTGTCAAAGGATCCATATTGTCCCAATACAAACAATCACAGTACATTAAGATTGACTTGTGGGAGTTCAAACAGATAGGATAGAAAACCATAAGTGTGAACAGACGATGGTTTTGCAAGTTTTGTAGACATTAGCTTGAGAAGAATGTGATGATCAAGCAATGGGAAAGAAAACATATCAAGTTGGGAGGCAAAACCATGATTGCACATATATCTTTGCGATTTCGTATGGAAAAATTGCACCATGCATCAAATTTGTAGAGCATGGGGATCTGACTAGTACCATGACTATACTCAATTAAGAAGCATTTTTGGATATTGCATGCATCAATGATCATTGAACTTTGAAGTGTGTTTTCTTGCACTTATATCTTCTTGCACAGATACCGAGCTCTTGTAGACACATAATTAAATATCTGCCATCTTCCATGAACAGCAATTGCTGACAAAGAACTCATTGTACAGCCAGCAGATTTGTAGTAACAATGGTATGATTAATTAACAGATAAACATATTAACCGGGCATGCAATCTGTCATACCACCGCATAAAATAAGGGCTAGCTGTACAAGCAAATTGAGATAACAATCAAGTCGAAGAAAGCAGTAATTATTTATGGTGTAGGAAGTGCAAGTATTATCTAAATTGTATCGTACCAGAACCTTCATTGATTTTGCTATTGCCTAGTTCATCCATAACTTTAATAGCCTATCCTTGCCACCAGATGCTACTTTTTCACCATCTGGACTCCAATCCACACAGAAAACCTAGGAAAAAGAAGAAGAAAGGACTTTATGTGACATTAAATAGTGAAGTTTGATGTGCATAAACTCATCAAGATTCTTGGAAAGAGTAGTACCTCATCTACATGACCTGGAAGATCTTGTTTAAGCTAATGCAATTACTCCGGCAAGAGTCTCGTCCACTACGTTCACCCATTTACTCCATAAGCTAATGCATCCATCATACTTTAAGGTTAATTTTGTAGTATCTGCTGTATCAAATGCTACGTCATGAGTTATTTTGTCATGCAATGCTAGTTGTCAAAGTTGAATTCTTTATTGCCAACGCAGGATCTGAGGCGGAGGGTTCATATATATATATATATATATATATATATATAAC